TAAGATTGTACGAGGTACGTATATTTTTTCTTTGTATATTTTCTTTGCATTGTTTTGAAATACTTGGAATTAAAAACATACAAAAAGTGAGTTTTCTTAACGTAAATTTTGTCCATTGTATAAATGTAAGATATATCGCAATAATTAAGGATATAAAGTCAATGGATTATATGCATATATATATTTGCCGTTCTTTTATTGTGAAAATCTGTATTTAATAAAAAAAATATAATTTGAGGGGATTGTGATATTAATTTTAGTTGGTGGAAAATAATAATTTGAAGACATATTATGAGATTTTTCTTGACGTTACCACGTTATGGACTACTCAATACCATAAGAGTCAAAATCAATGATTTTTGTGGAGATGGGACCTTAGCTGCAGGACCAAGTGAGAGAGATGGGTTCAGTCAAGGACCCGAAAACGACGGAGTCGAGATTTAAAATTTATGAGTTTTAAATTTGCCATTAAATTTATTGCTCGTCTTAATTATCATATTCGAAATTTTATATATATAATATTTTTCTAATACAAAACAAAATTTAAGCCAATATTACTGGATTTCATCGGACCTATACCTAATACTCTAGTTTTGTCCCTGCATAAAACTTATGTGGCAACTGACAAGATTGTTTTGGTTTTACATTATTACAAAATTAAATAGTCCTTTTGTTAAGTTAATTTTGTTAGCTGCTTGTGTCTTAGTTTGGAAGATCGATAACTTCAAGATACAAGAATATTTGTGGTACTTATAGATTTAAGTATATTTATGCGTCTAGTTTTATTTCTTAATGATTTGACATGATAATTTTCGAAGAAGATGATAGTGTTCGTCTAAAGTTTTCATTTTATCCCAACAAAAACTACTTAATTCAATCACAATTTAATTTAGTAATAATAAGTTCCTGACAAAAAATTATCTTTTTTTTCCTTGGGTTACTTAGAAAAAGATGTAGTAATTAATGTCTGTGATGACTTTTAACTCAAGCTCGCAAGCAAGTAGTATAGTACTAATAATAAGTTCCACATGATTCGCACCTATTTTAATTTGAATTTATTATCATAACGTCCCCACTAAACGTTTATATATTACCAAAAATGTCACGTACTGAGTTTGGAATTATTAATTTAATTACAATATAATTTCATCTAAATTTTTCGTATTATTGTACGTTATGTTCTGTCATTTATTCCACTATTTCCAAACATTTTCCTTGACTCACGCTCCAAGTTTATATGAAACATAGAATATAATTTTCTACCGACTTTCCTTTTCCCATATACGCCGGCAGGATTTGAAGTTTATGAATTCTTATATACATCGATCTCAAGTTAATACTATAATAATAATTGAATTCACAATCAAGTAATTACAGATATTTAGTAAATTTCTTAATATATATTATTCTCGCAAAAATTACTGAATTATATATATCCATATTAACCTGTAACCAACGCGGTAGATCTGCCCCTATTCACGGTGTTTCTTTTTATATTGTCTGGTCCTTGCATGGGTACATGGTTTTGAGTTTATTTAATTAGTATTTTTACCAATGATGAATTACTGATATTAATAATTAAACAGGTATTAGCAAATAAAAGCAAGATATACTTGGTGCTAGAATACGTGAATGGTGGTGAATTATTTGACAGAATTGTAAGTAACTTTGACAATAAACTTGTGTTTCTGCATATTAATATTTCAATTCTTGAACTCTAATTTGACTATAATCCTCATTAATTAATTAATTAACTAATTAATAGGCTTCCAAAGGAAAACTCAAAGAGGCACAAGGTAGAAAACTCTTTCAACAATTGATTGATGGTGTTAGTTACTGTCACAATAAAGGTGTCTTCCACAGAGACCTCAAGGTAACTATTGTAATATTTTTTTTTTACATTTTCAGTGTAAAATAACCTGTTATAACTGGTTACATACCATTTATTTGATGTTACTCGTCAATGCTAGTATTAAATAGAATTACTAATAATTAATTTTTAAGTGACTTGATTGTATAAATATTTCTGACTCATATGTGATTATGAAATGCAGCTAGAGAACGTCCTCATTGATATAAAAGGGAACATAAAAATAACGGACTTTGGGCTCAGTGCTTTACCTCAGCAATTTTGGGTACGTATGGAGCTTAATAGACGATATGTAGTTATGTTCCTCACGTGCCAGTCTGACTATTTTTTATGGATCAAGTACATAGAAATTTTTATTAGTAATGGGTGGCAATAAGTCTTGAATTCAGAACTTCTGTCTGCTCTGATACTAGATTAAATTATGTGGCTATCTCATAAACTATTAAAGAAACCTACTTTTATTTATTTAAATATTAATTTTATTAATTATGCTTAACGAGTTTTTTTGCTTATTTATAGGAAGATGGTTTATTGCATACAACTTGCGGTAGTCCCAACTATGTTGCTCCTGAAATTCTTTCTAATAAAGGATATGATGGCGCAACATCAGATACTTGGTCATGTGGTGTCATCTTATATGTAATTCTCACTGGTCAACTACCCTTTGACGATAAAAACCTCGCAATACTTTATAAAAAGGTAAAAGAAATTTCTTGTACTTTTTTCCTTTGTGTATGATATTCCATGTTTTATATGGCCTCTAGAGATAAAACAATTTATAACTATAAATTTTTTTTATATGAAATCAGATATTTAAGGGAGATGTTCATATACCAAAATGGCTATCCTTAGGAGCAAAATACCTTATAAAGAAGATTCTTGATCCCAATCCACGTACTCGTATAACAATGGCAGAAATCAAAATAGACGAATGGTTTAAACAAGATTATGTTCCTGCAAATCCATATGAAGAAGATTTGGAATGTGATCATATATCAACAGATAATCAAGTCTTAACGGTACAAGAAGCAGCAGTACGTACTTCCATTTTATGTGACGCGCTCTCCTTTTTAGCAGTAGTATGTACTTTTCTTTTTATATATAGATCACGTGTTTGAACCGTGGAATATAACAGCTTAACCCACTAGTGATATTTTTCGCTTTGGACCTAGGTCCGCACGGCTTTAAAACGTGTCACCGGAATCTAAGACCTGTCTACTTATATATACCTAGCATCTCTCCCGTATTTTGTCGATGTGGGATTCGTCTAGGGTATCACATATACCCTCTTAGGGATTCAACGTCCTTGCTGTGCCGAATCTTACATCGACAAAATACGGAAGAGATACTGGATATATAAATAGACAGACCTTAGACTCTAGTGACACTTTTTAAAGTTGTGGGGGTCTATGCCCAAAGCGGACAATATCACTAGTGGGCTGAGTTGTTATATGGAATCAGCTACTGATACTTATATCGAGGTAGGCTGCCTACATCATACTCTCTTGGGGTGCGACCCTTCCCCGAACTATACACGAGCGCGAGATGCTTTGTGTCCTTTTTTAGAAACAATTCAACTAATGTAAACTTCTTATTTTACCTATAATGAGATAATTTATAATGATACAAATATCTATGACTTATTTCACAGCGGGTTGACGCGCAAAGAGATCGAGAATCACATTACCTTATCAATGCCTTTCAACTAATAGGGATGTCATCATGTCTAGATCTTTCTGGATTTTTTGAGAAAGAGGTAACCTCTAATTTTGAATTATTTACCATATTATGCAATGAAAAAATAATAAAACTTAGGCTTATATTTTATTTTGAATCATTTTAGGACATTTCTGAGAGGAAAATCAGATTTACATCAACTCTCTTACCAAAACAGTTGCTGGACAGGATTGAGAATACAGTAACACAAATGGGATTTCAAGTCCAAAAAAGACATGGAAAGGTAATTAGTATATATTGAATTTGATACATCTATCTACATTTGCATGGGCTTATAACGTAATAATTACAATCGCTAGTCAAATATATAAAAGATATACACTGATTATGTATAAAATATGTATATTTTATATATATTAATATACATTTTGCCAGCTACTATTTTGAAGCATATACAAGAAAATATATACATTGAATTAATTTTTCTGTATTATAATTAAATTTTCAGACACGTAAAACTGATACACAAATGTCGTATATACGTTCGTCATTCACATATATTGCAGTTGAAAGTGTTACAAGAGTACAAAGAACAGAAATGCCCAACTACTCTCTCGGTAATCGCAGAGGTACGTACGTAACATTTTACAGTAGTTTAATTTTTATACACTAACGTTATAAAAAAATATTTAATAATTTTTTCTCGATGCACAATTTGCAGGTATTCGAGATTAGTCCATCCTTGTATGGCGTAGAGTTGCAAAAGTCTTCGGGGGATTCAATAGTATATAGACAGGTATATATACGTCGATATTTTGCTCTACGTACCTTGTTGAAATAAAATTGTAACGCAATTCAAATTAAACATGCGAAACTAACTGTAATACTTTTTGTATGCAGTTGTGTAATAGGGTATCGAGTGATTTGGGTGTACAACGGACTACAGAGATCTTAATTTAGCTAATTATTTGTTGTGAAATTTAGAAACTTTAATTCTAATTTTGTTCTTTTAATTTCCGTTGCTTCCAAACGCACACACAAGTATACGTGGTCATACAAGTAATAAAATGATAAGTCGAGTGTCGAACCCACAGAGACTTATATCAACTACTCACTAACACAACAATATTGTTATTCAGTCAAGCTAAGTTCGAGTTCAAGAGTTTAATTATGCTAACTACAATTCTAAGTAATAACTAAATTATCAAGCAGTAGAATGATTGTTATGTATTCAATTATGACTACTATTCCAGGGTTGTGATTGATTCACCAATCCTATTGTGTTCTAATTAACTCTCCCTTTCAT